GGTACCGAGGTGGGGCTGACAGGCCTGTAGTGACCCGGATCCTCCTTCTGGCCCTTCTTGTAGATGGGCGTCACACTGGCCAACCTCCAGTCATCTGGTCCCTCCCCTGTTGACCAGTCCTGGTCAACAGGGGAGGTACCAGATGACTGGAGGGTGGCCACCATGACAGGCAGACTTGTCTGCATGTGCAGCTCTGCACAGTCCCTGGCAGCGGGGTGCTCTGTGGGGTGCAGCCAGCGCACCCCAGGTAAGGCTGTGCCCATGGCCAAGCACAGCCCTGGGGGGGCAGGCACGGGGAAACCACGTTGTGTCGGAAAAAGGCACAAAGAAGTGGTAGAGAAAACAAGGAAGAGAGTTCTTAGAATAACAAATTTCTAGTACTGTAGTTCATTAAGCTGTGGTTCATTAAGCTTTGGTCCTGCAGGTTTGATTTTATTCTAAAAAAAAAAGGCTTTTTTTTTTAAAGGTATTGATACACATTACTGTTATAGTATGATCTTCTCAAAGGAGAGGCTGAGCTACGTTACCGACTATCTGGACTCCAGTAATGCACTTCACATGCTCAGATTCAGTTAAATCCAGTATGATTTTGCTTTCTTTGCTACAACCACGCAACTAGGGAAGTAAGGCATGTTACTTGCACACCACTGGGACTGTTCATTTGGCCATGCTGTTGTCATTTCTTTAGAAGTTGCCCTAGGTCTGCATCTAGCAGTCTCGCCCACTTGTTCTGTAAATCACAGAATCACAGAATCACATGGGGTTGGAAGGGACCTCTGGAGATCATCTAGTCCAACCGCCTGGCAAAGAAGGTCCACCTAGAGTGGGTTACACAGGAACTTGTCCGGGCAGGTTTATCAGATTGACATGTTTTGAGGTTCACAGGACGTACTAGTAATAAATAAAACACTGTCTCCTCTATGAGCTTTCAGGTTGCTTGAATTTTGATTTGTCCCTGTTATGCTTCTTTACTGCATGCGCTCCTGTGCTCTGTGTCTCAAACTGTACGAATTGGAATGATGACCCTGCTGCCTCTTATCAGTGTTTACAGGATTTAGGGTTGGAGGGGCTGCTATTATGCTTAGTCTCCAACATGATCAATGGAAGCTATAGATCCAGAAATAAGCCATGACATCTTTCAAAAACTTGCCTGATATGCCTGATGTTTTTGGAAGCAGCCTATAATGGAGAATAATAGTAATGTGTTTTCAGCCAGCATGTGGAATGCTGTTTATGAGAAATCCCTTCCCTAAGCTTTATGGTGTTGCTTTGTTTCTTAAATATGTCTTGTCTTGGAAGTGTTCTATCTTGAGGAGTCTGTATCACACAAAGCAAAAGACATACTATAGTTCTGGAATTCTGAACGGCAAAACACACTGTTTGCAGTGGTAATGCCAGCAATCATCTCACTGCACTGGAAAATCATGTTCAACAAGGACTCTGAGTCCATAATCTGATTCTTTTGAGACCTTTACTCACATACGTAGCCCAGATGAACGTAGTGAGATCTGAACAAATAGCTGCTTGCAAAATTTGCTGCTTAAATCTGTTAAAAGAAATAAACAAAACAACCCCAAACCCACAAACCAAACAGATAAAAAAAAAAAAAACAAAACAGGAAAAAACCCGAACAGAGCAAACCCAAACCCCCTTCCCTTAGGAGGAGGATAATAGCTCAAGTGTCCTGCTTTCTTGAAATTACAGGAATGAAATAGGAACTGAGGGGTCATAGTTCTAGCCTGTACTCTTTTGTACCAGTGTGATGCTTTGTTTTCCATATGAGTGTGGTCAAGATACATTCTGTGTGTAACAGATGTGAATCAGATAACTTTATCACCTCATATTGGAAGACTTTGCTGTCATGTTACGCTGTCTTTTGATTGATCAAGGCAATTAGGGTTTAGCCAGTGAAGTCACACACGTATTTCAGAACAAGGTAGATGCTAAATTAACCTTTCAAATGTGGAGCAAGATCGATTTGTCAAACTTCTCTGAGCAGAATAAGCAAAAGCTGTTCACTTAATCTCTGATTAAGGTTATGAATTAAAACCAAACAAAATGACTTGTCACTAATAGACCAATTAAGTACATATGAAGGAAGGTAATTTAACAAAACTGACATACGCATATGAATTTCCTATTAGGCTCTAATGTGAAGTGTTCTTAAGAAGATGTGCTTGAAATGGTTGATACTCAGTGTGTTTCAAGTGTACTTTGAAAGCACATGAAGGAATTGAGTGTCTGCAACCTACCCAAGAAAGCTTCCTTATAAAGTGTGAAGAGAAGTGGTTGAAATAAAAAAATATACTTGAAATAGGTACACTAAAAATGCAGCAGAAAGGATAAATGAGCAATTTCTACACAGAAAGTGCTGGAAGGAGACAAATTGTGAAAGATGACGTGTGTGTGTGTGTGTGTGTATAGAGGAAGGTATTTGATTATTTCTTTTTTTCATTCATCTGAAATGATCACATATTTAATTAGGCCTAACTGCGCCAAGTGGAACAAGAGTTGCTTCTGGGCATTCCAGAATTATGGCCAGGGGAATACTTAAGATGAGGGAGTAAGAAGTGTTGTACCATTAACTTGTTTGAACAGGTGAAGTCAAAGGTATTTTTTTTTAGTTGTTAAGTACACAAGACTCTGACTGTGCTTTCTGCTTGTCTGCCCAGAAATGATACTCCTGCTTTTCAAATTTGAATTCACAGTATATCTGTGGCAGCATAAGCATTCAGCAGAAAGTCAGTAGGCAAAATTAGACATGGTGGTTGTCAATGTAGTCTGGTTCATCTAGGTCTGGTGGTGTTCCTGCAGCAGGCAATACATAGCAGCTAATCCGTGCATAATTTATTGCCTTAGAAACGGTGATTAAAGGAATGTTTATCAGAATCTACTAGAAATCAGATGAGCTGGCCTAATAACATTAATCTCAATAAGGTTCAGGAACAAGCAGATGGGAAAAAAATGGTATTTGTTAGGCTTTCTGCTTACTTTGTGAACTCAGCAACTGAACACAGAAAACATGATCAAAAACACTCTAAGGGGACACTCTAACTCCCATCAAGGAAATGTTGTGTGGTGTATTATAACTTCTATAGTCACCTTATATATTGTGAGATAATACTACAAATAGCAGTTGAGTTCTACCGTTACAGGCTGTGTAAGTGCAAGACCAGTTATGGATTGATACTCTTAAGTGTATTTACAACAAAACTGAGTGTATGTTAGTGAATGTAATGAAGAAGTAGAAACTAAATATAATCTGTAGATAAACTTGGTTATGATTCAGGGCATAAAGGACTGGCAAAATCTCTGTAACAGCTCAAAATCAATTAGAAGCATCAGAGACCAGACCATTAAAACTGTAGCACGATATTGCAGAGGATACACCTGGAAGGTAGTATTACTTTTGTATTAAAGAACTTGAGTTTTATTTCAGATGCTACTGAACCTGCTGAATTGCACAGCTAACCTTCTAGAGTACCTCTGCATTTTCCTGAATAGGTCATCATGAAGATATCTATGTTGATGAGAACTGTACATTTTTCTGTGATTCCTCAGCTGTGTACAAAACACTAACTTACTAAGATTGGTTTCTTTCTGAGATGAGGAACAGATGGCTATGTTATGTATAGGGATATACCTTTTTGTGTCCATTACAGTAAGTCTCTTTGGCAGAGAGATGGCAATAACAGTACCAGTCCAAGTTATTATGAGTTACAGCTGCAGCATGCTGAAAATCTAGTGTCTAGAATTCCTCCCCTTGCGAGTGATCTGGGTTTACAGGGTGGTCCTGTAATGCTGGTGATTAAAACACTGCATGCAAGTTGTCATGCCCAGAAATGGTCCTGTGTTTCAAAACATCCTGTAGCTTGCTGCAGCTGTGATGCCAGTGTCTGTCTTTTTTTGCTGGAGTCATATAAAATCTTTGATTTCAGTGTCTTGTACCCTTTACAAACAAATGGCCGTGTTTGCTGTAATGACCCTCATTTCTTTTGTCATGGGCAGCAACGTTTTGTAGGGCTGCTCTGATGTGGCAGGTAGCCACTGAAACTGGCCACTGCGTTGGCTGAGAGCAAATCAAAGCACTCCCTTGTCATGCCCGCTGGCTGTCACCTCTGCTCAGAGGCACACACACTGCTCGTTTGGGTTGTACAGTCGCTGTGCCACTGGCACAGGCTGTGACCTGACTGTCCTGTCAGCAGCTAATGGTAGTACCCCATTACTTGTTGGTTTTGACTAGCCAGATAGCCTATGATTTGATTTATCCCTGCTCACTCAACATTTATAATGTTTCTGACTGAAACAGCATTTTCCCCTTTCACATCAGGTAAATCTGATGTTGCCTCACTGAACAGTGAGTTTTGCTACCTGAAAACTTCTATTAATTATGGCTTATTCACTCTAAGATTCTTAGACAGAAGAAAATAAATTCTGTTCTTGACGTTTTTCTCAGTGAATACTTGCTATTTGCTTATTTCATACAGCTTGAGCCAAGGATAACCCTGTTCTTTGGCTTGCCAAGGGATCAAAGTAGGATCTGAATCCACCACTTAGATGCACACCTTAAGAAAGATCTTAAATGCAAACTGCAGCAAATCCGAAGAACTTCAGTTTCAGGGTTCTTCCTGTATTTTCATTTTAGCTTGCTGAGGTATACCCAAAACACCTCCATATTCTTATAGTCTGAGTATCTTACTGGGTTCCCATGTAAAGAGATGATATTTGTGGGATTCTATTATAGCACCATAAACCAAAAGGCAGTCCAGCAGGGCTGTGTGTAGAGATCAATATAACATTTCAACAATAGTATCGCTATGTCTTGTGTCTATAAAGATGTAACAAACTGTCAGCACGAATTCTGAACCTGAGCTGAAAGACTCGTGCATGAATGACACTTCAGCATGTGGATGAAGCTTGAAAAGGCTATTGGTTATTTTAGAAACCTGACATAACTATTACATTATAGTCAGTGTACAGATTAAACCAAAGATATTTACCTTCTTCTTTGATCTCTCAGACTTCTTGGAAATGTTCTTTACTTTCGTATGGAGATGGTATAAAACCTTGGGGGGAAAAAAAGGAGCAATATATTGAATGGGAAATTGAGTTGTGTGTATTAGTATTTGAACTTCTCATACAAGCAACAAAAATGAAAATAATTGTTTTAGCATGACTTCAACCAAAGTTTAATTTGATGCTTTGAGACTTCCAATTCTAAGTCCTCTACAGTTCTCCCTCCTTCAAGAAACAAGGTTTGGAAAAAGCATTAAAACTGCTGTGTTTCCAGAAGCTGCAGCTCAGTGTATATCAAGAGCTCAGCTGGCACTACGCTGAAATCCACAGGAGTCTCTCCATGGATTTTGAATTGTAGATTGTGCCTCAGATTGTCTGCATTTATTCTCTAGGCTGATTTTATGCAAAAGCAGAGAGCAGGCTGCCAGCTCTGCACCCAGTGTGACTGTCCTGTAACGAACGGGGCGGTGGGAGTGGGTTCCCCTTCCAGAGGGAGAGTCTTAAGGAATGTTGGAGCACTGTAGGGAAACTCTCAGTTAACAACATATACGTCAAGCTTTTGAAACCTGATTACAGCAGGGCAGTAACCTGGCAATGTTTATACTTTGGCCTTTGGAGCTGACAGACTACCTTTTCTAAAGCAATTAATGAACAAAAAATGTGTCTCTATAAAATGCAGCTCAGCTTCCTGTTGCTGCTGTCTCTCGTAGGACAGTGAGGGGACAGAGAGCTGGAGCTACAGCGACAGGAGTTAAGAGCTCTAGTGGCTTTTTCCTCGTGACAAGCAAGGCCAAGAGTTTAGAGATTTTTAGCTTGCATGGAAGTGTATTGTCCTGTCCTTAGCACTGCTGATGGCAGAACAGATTAGTATTGAAACTAATGTATTTTTGATTAAACAAACATAAATTTAAACTCCAGGAAAACATTTTTTTCCAAGCAGATAGACCTGCAACTGACTAGTGTCAAGAAAGTCCAGTCCCTGCATGACAGGGTATTATTCTGCGTGCTAGCACAGCTCATAGGCTTCTATCAGTCTTAAACGTGCTAAAGAACAGGAAGGGCAAACCAAAAATTTAAGTGATGGTAATCCTCAAGAAGAAAGGAAGTGATTTCTTGCTGAATAAAACTTTGATCCCAAGATCTCTTTTTGCAAGTCTTTGCAATACACAGAGCTTTGTGTCAAGAAAAGAAAGAAAAAAAATAGGGGTGATGTCTCTAATACTGTTTCTGTACACTCTGCATAGTTTCTCCCTCCATTGGCTTTTCCTCTTGCCAGAAATGCTCATTATTATGAGAAAAAAAAGCTGAAAAATAGGAAAACCAGCAAGAATCTTTAGGGGATTTGGGTGCCAGGCTGGGTGTCAACAGCTGGAATCCCTTTCATGAGCTGATATAACTTCATTCTCTGTTTTCCCTCCCTCCCCCGGCTTCAGAGAAGTATTCTATACCAGGAGGGAATATGGAAAGGATTTGATCTATTATTTGTTCCCTGGGTAGCTTGAGCTTACATATCCAAGCCACCAGGAATCTGGGTGTGATCTTTTCCTCCATTTAAGTATTACTTGCCCTTTTAAACCCTCTCACCCACCTTGGCATAGCAGCAGGTGATGAGCACCAAGGGCAGGAGGTATCCCACCAGCAGGATGGTGATCTTGTACATCTGCTTGGCTGTCGAACCGTCTGCCCAGTGCTCCCAGCAGAAGGAGCTGTTGGGTGCTTGCTGGTGGCCACTCATGAGGGCCTGGTGCTGGGCGACAGGGATGGCAATGAGTAGAGACAGCAGCCAAATGACCCCCACGCCCAGGGCAGCGTTGCGCTTGCTGCGGATGCAGGATGAACGCTTGGCATGGACCACAGCAATGTATCTGTCCACAGACATGGCCACCAGAGTAAAGATGCTGACCAGCATCGTCGCCATAGCCAAGTAGTGAACCCACTTGCAAAAGAAGGCACCAAAGATCCACTCGGGCAGGGAGTAGATGGTGGCCTGGAAGGGGACGCAGAAGAGCAGAAAGGAGAAGTCTGCAATGCTCAGGTTGAGGATGAAGATGTTGGTAGCGCTGCGCGATGGGCGCCCCCCAGGCCGGAGGCGCCCCAAAACAACCAACACCAATGTGTTTCCTACCATTCCCAGGAGAAAAATCAACCCAAAAAGCACCGGTACAATCACCACCTCTGGGCCACCCCTGGTTGCTCCTGACCAGCGCGTTGGGGCCTGTGTTTGGTTGGTCTCCAGGCGGCACTTGCTGGTATTGTCTCCGAGGGAAAGCACGAAGTTGTCTCCCTGCTCCTCCATGGGGCCAGGCTGCTTGGAAGGGCAGGAGCTGCTGCTGTAGCCCTGGCTGCAGTTGGGCAGGTCAGTGGTTGTCAGTGGGGGCCAGAGACTTGGGTTTTCCGATGCAGTGTCTTTCCTTTGGGGAGCAGTTGTCTTCAGATGATTTTTCCAAGCTCTGTCTCTCTCTGGTGCTGATTCTTCTGTGAACTGGCCAAAAAAGGAGGTTGAGGAATTTCCTTATCCGGGAGGTGCCTGCAGGTTTGGCAGTGGCTCCTGGAGGAGCTCTGGTGGCAGAGGAGAGGTCTGTGCCAGCGGGGCTGAGGATGCAGCTGCCCTGGGAGCCTGGAGCAGAGGGAAAGCGGCTGCGGTTCAGCTTCCTCACGCCCCTCCTCTTCTGCTTCCCTCCCACCCCAGCCCCTGCATCCGCCGCTCTCCTACCTGCTCTCCCACCGCCGCTCGGAGCCGTGGCAGGGAGAACAAGTGCTGTCTGTGACCTGAACCCTTCCAATAACCCCTGATCAGCTCCGTCCCTGTGGATTACTGCTCCCCAGGAGGGGAAGAACAGAGCAATAGCAAGCTCTCATCCAAAGGGATGGGATGAGCAGCAGCTGCGGAGCAATAGCCTGTGTAGTTCTGTGAGGAGCAGCATTGTAACTGGCTGCACAAAGAGGAAAAAGGCTGAAATATGTTTTTTTTTATCAACAGAGCAGGTTTTTTTTTTTGTTTCATAGTCTTTAATGTGCTCACATTAGGGCACAAAGCAATCTGAATAATAGAATTTTCAACACAAAGAACTGGGTGAGCCTTAAATTCAGCAGCTGGCTCCTGCCACTCGGATATCTGCCCAGATTCCTTAGTGCCTGAGTGTTCATTGATCTCTTTGATCCAGCTGTGAAGAACTTTCGGGTTCAGCCCGGTAGCATCAAGAGCATCTGCACTGGAAAAGGAAAGGTTTGGTTGTGGTATCTGTGAGCAGCTGTAATGTTCCCTGCGAGGGAACAGAGACATGGATTTAAAAAAAAAAAAAAAAAGTTTTATTAAGGATTAATGGCTTAGTTGTTGGGGTTTTGATGCTTACTTATAGAAACAGCATGTATATTTTAGAAGGCACTAAGTAACTTGGGTTTAATGGTCTGTTTCCTCATATCACTGCATCAGGGAATTGTCAGAGTTGGAAGGGACCTCTAGAGACCATCCAGTCCAACTCCCCTGCCAAAGCAGGGCTGCCCAGAGCACATCACTCAGGAGCATCCAGGTGGGTCCTGAAGATCTCCAGAGAAGGGGACTCCACACCCTCCCTGGGCAGCCTCTGCCAGGGCTCTGCCACCCTCACCCCAAAGAAGTTCTTCCCCATATTTGAGTGGAACTTCCCATGTTCCAGCTTGTGCCCATTGCCCCTCGTCCTGTCACTGGGAACCACTGAAAAGAGTCTGGCGCCCTCCTCCTTCAACCCACCCTTGAGATCCTTGTCAGCATTAATAAGGTCTCCCCTCAGCCTTCTCTTGTCCAGGCTAAAGAGTCCCAGCTCTCTCAGCCTTTCCTCATCAGGGAGATGCTCCAAGCCCTCCATCATCTCTGTTGCCCTTCGCTGGACTCTCTCCAGCAGTTCCCTGTCTCTCTTGAACTGGGGAGCCCAGAACTGGAGGCAGGATTCCAGTTGTGGCCTCCCCAGTGCAGAGCAGAGGGGGAGAATGACCTCCCGCCACCGACTGGCCACACTCTGCCCTACGCAGCCCAGGATCCCATTGGCCTCTTGGCCACAAGGGCACATTGCTGGCCCATGGATGGTGAACTAGGACCCCTAGATCCTTCTCCCCAGAAGTGCTTTCCAGCAGGCCCACCCCCAACCTGTATGTCCTAAGGGGTTCTGTGAACTCCCCAGGCAGTAAGGGGGGGAAGCAAAAATGTAGGTAACCGTTAGCAGCACCTGCACGCGGTGGCTTCTTGCACAGAACAGTGCACATCTTGATTTTCAGTGGTTAGGAGTCTGGGCTCGGTCAGAGTGGCTGCCACTGCCTCCTGAGGGTGTGGGGGTTAGACTGGAGGGGGGCCCTTAACTTTTGAAACAAGTTCAGTGTCTGAGAGTTGCCCTGCCCTGTGCCTTGTCTCTGGGCTCTGGTTCGGAGAGGGGACAGTGCTGCCTTCCATAGCCCGGCCTGATACGCTTGTTTCAAATCTGTGATGAAACTACATTCCTGATTTTCTCCCCAATATTTTTGAGGCTAGCTATGAATGAGGTGGGAAGTGGTCAGGGAGTGAAAGCTGCAATGGAAAATCCATCTACGCTTACTGCCTGCCAGTGAGCAGATCTGCATGGCTGGACCAGCTCCCTGGGTGCCACCTGCAGCTCCCTTAGGCCTCTGCGGCCCGGCTGCCACGCGTGCTGTGCCATGTTGCGACGGAGGGAAGACAAGAGCACTCAATATGAGTGACCAGCAAGCTTCGTTTATTTAGACACACTACCATTCTTTTATGCACACTCATAATTAGCTCATACATATTGCAAAATGAGAGCTCATTATTGGTTAGTTCTAAAAAGACAGTTCCGCCGAAATTCCTTTCTTACAGTTACATGTTTACCTTATCACAGACATTCTGTTGTTGGACCACAGCTGCCTTCAAGGCCAGAAACATAGAATCATAGAATCATAGAATCATTCAGGCTGGAAGAGACCCTTGGGATCATCAAGTCCAACCATCTACCCTACTCTACAAAGGCCTCCCCTACACCATATCCCTCAGTACCACATCTAAACGATCCTTCTGTAAGGAATCTTCATGGTTATTTCTGTCACACGTTCGTAATTCTGGGGTTTGCTCAGGTTTTCTAGAAGTTTAATTCAGAGGTCCAAATGTTAGTGCCAAGGAGAAAATAAGAGGTTCTCTGTGCGAAATTTGTTTGCCATGAAAATATTTTGGTGTATTTATTTAAAAACAAGTGTCTTTCCCTTCGTTATCCTTGAGGGTTTACAAATCAAAAAAGGACAGATCCACTGCAAACCCACCAACAGGACTAAGGCAAAAGGAATACACATCACTCACCAATGTTTGTACCACCTGCCTCCTAAATTCTGCAATGAGTCTCACCTTGAAATATAAAAAAATTAATAAAACATTGTGAAGAACCTGTTTACGGTTCTTCAGTGCAGGATGCAGGAATACAAATGAGCCCTTTCACTCAATGAGAACCTGAGCTTCACTCATCTTGATCTGAATTTCAAATTTGTCAATAAGCACAGAATATTTTAAGTGCTCTCTGTAACATACTTCTGAGATGGCTGGTATTTGTGGCACAGGTCTATTTGGTACATCGGCTGCTACACACATCTGTTGGGCAGGCAGCGAGGAGGTCTTCAAGGCCTTGCAGTTATTGGGAGCTAGATAAGCTGAATACGGTGCTTATTGAGCTCTTGCTGGGCTAGCTGGCCCATGTCTACGTGACCCTTCTCAGCTAGCCAGGCTCCCACAGTGCCACAGCACCCGAGACACCATGAAGGGCTGCAGTCCCCCAGATCTTCTGTCTGCTGGGATCCACCTGCGGGGACCAGCCCCGGGTTGTGCTGCAGGTTGGGGGTGCCATCTGCTGGCACTTCACCCAGCCAGCTCCTCTGCCCGTGCTTGGCCTTTCCTTCACTCAAACCTACAGCCCAACTGCTCAATAATCCGCTCCATCCCACCCTTGTGCACGAACACACCACTAAATCACGAAACTTTAATTATGCTTCATTTCCTTTTGTGACCATATGCGATCACCGTAAGGTTACTTCTTGTAATGCTGTTTGTAGAACTTCATGTAAGGTTTGAGAAAGGCTGTTGAACGTGATTTCAATACCTATTTCCATATTTTAGATCGGTTTGGGTTTTTTTTTTCCCTTTTCTTAAGCGGGCAGTCATAAAAAAAAGTATTCTTTAAGAAGCACCTGTAGCAATCACAGCAAATGAAAGCGTGCATTTTTTTTCTTTTAGTGGGTTTGGGCAAAGTAATAAAAAACTGTAGCATGCATGATTTCTGCTGCAGGGGATGCAATGAGGCAATGCATGCAGGAATTTGAGACTTGCATGCATGTGCCACTTGCAGAGCAAACTCAGCTTTGCAGATCTAAAAGATTCCATGGCACATGAAGCAGAAAATGAGCAGAGGACAGCACAGTTCTAGCTGGAGGATGGACAAAGCATAAGACTGTTTATATTTGTAAAAAAAAATAATCAGACATCTCCAAATTCCTACAGAAGGGACACTGCCAGACTTCTTCTCCATCTTCAGAATTCAATTTTTTTAAATAAAATGGACAGCTCTGGGTTTGTTTTGGCTTTTTTTTTTTTAGGTTTCAATGAGAGTTATAAGTGGGGAGTGGGAGGAAAGGTGAATACTCCGGGTGAAAGCGGCAGTGACAGGCTGAATTAGGCATCCAGTAAACTAGGTGCAAAAACTCAGCTTGCTTTCACTAGGGAAGTGAGGTGCTGCAAATCTGACTCCCAGTGGAGCCTGGCTGGTGTAGGAGTATTCCTGGCTGGTCTTACTTGGGAGGAAATCATATTTCCAGTGGTAATTTTTGTGCTTTGCTGAAAACTTATCCTGAAGCTGTGTTTGCTGTGGCATTCAAAAGTTCCAAAAAAAGTAAAGATTCCTTCTTCTTTTTCCCTCTTTCTGCCACTTCTCAAGTGCTTTAATTGGTGTGGTTTTGACAGGGAGAAATCCCCTGCCTTTGAGAATTCACAGCCCAAATGCAGTTGGAAGGCAAGTGACCATGCACATTAATTAGTCCAAATAGGACTTTACTGAGTGCAGGAGCACAAATAGCAAGGTAACCTCTAATATCCGGTTTGATGGGAGCATCCACGTTGTGTGTGGTACTTTAAAATATGTGGTGTTTCATCTGGAAACCAGAAACAATTAATGCACTGTGGATTGAGCTGCATGAAACATCTGAGCTCTACAAATTCTGCTGTTTTTTAGAGACTCTGTTGCTTCCTGGATGAAGACAACAAAGATTTAAACATGAGTAAAAGGATGTAGGAAAAGGAAACTGAGT